ATACATACACGTTCACGCACGCACGTACGCACACACACGCACACACACACAGTGATGTGGAAGGAAGAAGTGATGTTTAGGAAGTGATGTGGTGGAGGCTGACTCCATACACAGTTTCAAGTGTAGATATGATAGAGCCCAATAGGCTCAGGAACCTGTACACCTGTTGAGTGACGGTTGAGAGCCGGGACCAAAGAGCCAGAGCTCAACCCCCGCAAGCACAACTAGGTGAGTACTAGGTGAGTACACACACACACACACAAACACACACACACACACACACACACACACACACACACACACACACACACACACACACACACACACACACGGGGGCCTGTGGCTAAGTGGACAGCGCTTGGGGCACATAATGCTAGGGTCCGGATTCGATCCTCCAACGATGGCGGAAAACAAATGGGCAGAGTTTCTTTCACCTTGATGCCCCTGTTACCTAACATTAAATAGCTATCTGGGAGTTAGACAGCTCTTAAGGGCTGATTCCTGGTGGGATGTGTGATAAAAAAAAGCTAATTGACACTTGAGAGGCGGGCCGAAAGAGCAGAGCTCAACACCCGCAAGCACAACTAGGTGAATACAATAGTTTGTGTACCCAAAAGCAGTAGAAAACATAGCGTCATGTCCATGTATTCCAATGTAAGATTCTTGTAAAACATTTTCTGGTTCTTGTAATCTTTTGTCAGGTCACTTTAATTTAGTGTCAAGGCCCTGAAATATTTTTTAGGTCTGTGTAATCTATTGTCACGACACTGTAATCTACTGTCCAGCTTTGTCAAATATATTCAGGTCCTTCGAATTTATTGTCAGGTCTTTGAAATCAAATTTGAAGCAACTGTAATGAATTATCCGCTCCCTGTAATTTATTAATGTCGTCACTTTCATCTATTATTAGAAAATTGTTATCTATTGTCAGATCTCTGTGTTTTCCCAAGTAACAATAATCGAGTGTCAGGGCCCTCAAATCTTTTGTCATTTCACTTCCCCTCAACCTCTCAATCTACCTCTCTCTCTCTCTATATATATATATATATATTACCTCAGAGCTATTTCATTAACTTATTTTAAGGCATTTCCCTTGCATTTACCTTAATTTTGTTATAATCTTACCTATATATGTCATTGGAAAGGTAAATACTTGACAAAATACTTAATGTTTGAAATAGGAAAAAGATATTTCGGAGCTAAAACTCCGACTCGACAAACAATTCGTGAAAGATTGAAGATCAAAGACGACCTCGAAAACTTGGAGTGGAAGTCCATTCCACAAGATGGCTGCGGAACAGCAAAAAAAGAGGTATCGAAGTTTCCTATTTTTAGAATGGTGGAAGAGACACATTACCTGCAGGAGGTAATGTCTCTCTTCCACCTATGTGTCTGTTTGATATAATATTCGAGTTTAACAAACCTTTTCGCCTGACAGGAGCACTTTTAAAGCAAGATAATGCTTGCACCAGGTAACTATAAGGACGGTTCTCGCGTGTTGCAGATTGTGAACCACAGTTACTAATGATCATTTCTTCAGTGAAGGCGTTTTTAACAGTAACCAGATACCACTCGACGACACAGTTATTTAAATTTAAACTGAACCTCGCCCCTATTTTTGCATGCAAGGATATGAGTGTTTGTATATGTTATGTACTCACCTATTTGTGCTTGCGGGGGTTGAGCTTTGGCTCTTTGGTCCCGCCTCTCAACTGTCAATCAACTGGTGTACAGATTCCTGAGCCTACTGGGCTCTATCGTATCTACATTTAAAACTGTGTATGGAGTCAGCCTCCACCACATCACTGCCTAATGCATTCCATCCGTTAACTACTCTGACACTGAAAAAGTTCCTTCTAACGTCTCTGTGGCTCATGTGGGTACTCAGTTTCCACCTGTGTCCCCTTGTTCGCGTCCCACTAGTGTTGAATAGTTTATGTGTGTGTGTGTGTGTGTGTGTATGCGGGTGAATATACGTTCATGTATGTGAGTGAGCGTGCATACGTGTATGTATATATACGTGCATGTTTATATGTGCATGTATATACGTGTGTGTGTGTAAGCGCCTCCATGTGTAGGTAGTCGAGTGAGTGTGATTTCCACAGGAGTTTTTCCTGCACTAAACGTTGTTTTAGATTTAGCTACTCAAAACGAAATATCCCTGTAGCACGGGCTATGGTGAGCCCATAAGTCTGCACTACAATCACAGCTCTATTTTCTAGCAGCGCTGAGCCATCAGCATTCTACTTGCTCAAATGTGTCGCTGGAGGCCCTACTACCTTCACCCTGATTACCCCTTTGGCTGCAGGCATCTCTAGCCCCCTTCTCTCCTATTTTTACCCTTTGACTGAATCCCTTTGCCCATTATACCATGTCTTGAGTCCTCTCCAGCCCCTTCTCACTCCTCTGTCCCACACCGTCCATTACTCAGGATCACTAGCGCTTAAGGGGAAACAGAAGATCACGCTGGAAGCAATTAGCATGTGTATAAGGTTATTGTCCCTGGCCTGGCTTGCCCAGGGCCTCTCGGTGAGGCGCATAATGACATCTTCGCGACAGCTCCAGCTTGTCACTGGCCGGGGTGCTCGGTGCTGGAGTATGATACTCTCTCGCAGACTCCGTGCCGACTAATCTCATAAATTCCATGCATACATCAGCGGGTATTGAGGTGGTGCTAGTGTACATGTCAACTTTATACAAATACATTGATATTTATAAGAAAAATCGAACGAACTTAACCCTAAATATTACTATCAAATATAGTATCAAATTCATTTCTCTATGTAGACCATTCCTGCTCTGCAATTTAATATAATTATTCTTAATAAGCAGATTAGTCTCATGGATCAGATTGGGGGAGACCACACTACAGGCACAAGGGCACATGTGTAGTCCCCTGACCAAAACTGTGATCAGCGGAGCTCAGTCCCCTACGGTCCATCAGAGTTCGGTTAAATCGTACACAGGATTCTCGCATTTAGTTCGTTTTTTTTATGTATGATCGTATGTGACTCCAGTCTTCTACTACATTTCAATGGAGTATCAATAAGATATTCGTCACAATCCGCCTCTTCTGATTCCAGTCCCGAGCCGTTTTCCAGGAGATATACTCAGGTTCAGGGAGCAGTAGACGAGGATGGGACACTTGGCCCAGCAATTATTCCCTTTCATTAGCTAAGTGGAGGTCCCATAGTAGTCGTCTGTCCCATTGTTTGTCTGTTCCTCAGGTCAAAGGCGTCTTATCACTTGAGGAACTGGCTCATTTACCTCTATGCTTCCCAGGAGGATCTCTTATGCTTAAAGCTGGCCCAAGAGCGTCGAGAAACTGCTGGTCTCTTAAGCTTTGTATCTCTTCCAAACCCCCATTCTCATGATCTCTCCCACCTCTCCTCCATCCCTCCTTCCCCATCATACCCCTCTCCAATCATCCTTCCTTCCTCAAACTGCACCTGCAGAAGCTTATTGTCTAAAATATCTCCATATTCCATTACGGTCAAACCATTAGTGTCAAAACCTTCTCAGGAATGCTCCAGGCTTTTATGAGCTGAATCTTGATTTTATTTAAGCACAAAATGTGTGCACAGTTCGAAGGAACATTTTACGATAAATATCTGGAATGCGATGGTCTCTGTAGAAATTTTATGGAGTATATATTTTATCTCGATCTGACTTTTTTTTTGTTTCAAATTATGACGTTTTCAGACCTAGTTTCTATGACAAATTGTTTTATGACTAATATATATATATATATATATGACTAATATATATATATATATATATATATATATATATATATATATATATATATATATATCCGTTTAAAGAGCTCTGAAAGATAAACAAAAATTGTAATTGGTATCATTTTAGCTTTAGTAGCTAATGATGAATTCAGTATGAACGTTGCTTCTTGCAAGTGCAGGGTTCGATCCCTTACGGTGCAAGTGGATGAGTGATCCTTCACTCCGACTTTGTTCTCATACACCTTTCAAGGGCTTTATAGACATACTAGCTCATGTTTTGTGTGTGTGTGTGTTTACTAGTTGTGTTTACTAGTTGTGTACTAGTTGTGTTTTTGCGGGGGTTGAGCTTTGCTCTTTCGGCCCGCCTCTCAACTGTCAATCAACTGTTTACTAACTACTATTTTTTTTTTTTTCCACACCACACACACACACCCCAGGAAGCAGCCCGTGACAGCTGACTAACTCCCAGGTACCTATTTACTGCTAGGTAACAGGGGCACTTAGGGTGAAAGAAACTTTGCCCATTTGTTTCTGCCTCGTGCGGGAATCGAACCTGCGCCACATAATTACGAGTCCTGCGCGCTATCCACCAGGCTACGAGGCCCCCCATGTGTGTGATGTGTGTGTGTGTGTGTGTGTGTGTGTGTGTGTGTGTGTGTGTGTGTGTGTGTGTGTGTGCGCGCGCGCTCGCCCACCCTAATTGTGCTTGCGGGCATTGAGCTTCGCTTCTTTGGTCCCGCTTCTAAACTTGTGTACAGATTCTCGAGTCTATTGAGCTCTATCATATCTGCGTATGAAACTGTATGAAGTCTGCCTCCACCACATCCCTTAATATATAGTTCTAGTATAATATATAGTTTTAGTACCTCATAATGTATAGTTCTAGTATCCCTTAAGGAATAGGTGTATGTTCCAAGACAATATTTCTTGTTTCTAACTTCATAAGTCATTAGTACTACTGATGGAGAACCTGTAAGAATACAACTGAATATGGCAATTCTCTGAGAATTGTAATTCAAGGGGGAAAATGTATATTTTCAATCCATTTTCTCTTAAGCTTTCAATGTAAGGTTATACATACAAATGTTTTACCTGCGTGCTGAGGTGAAGACATGCTGTAGCATTTAGTTATAAATAAATGAAAGAAAACATCCATAATGTCTTGCATAAATATGTTATATTATATCATAGTTATGTACAAAGAAGACATCAAGTCAGAATAAGCCGCTTTGTGCCTCAGCACACACGCGAGAGGTCTATCTATCTTGATGTGTAGGGACTGTAGGCATAAGGATTATAATAGAAGCTTTTACCTAGCCCGTGACCCAGGCCGTGGCCGTGACCCAGGCCGTGGCCATGACCCAGGCCGTGGCTATGGCCCAGGCCGTGGCCATGGCCCAGGCTGTGGCCAGCATCATGGGCCACCACGTGGGCACCATGAGACGACCCATGCTTCTTGTCTCCTTCGTCAAAGACATGTATGCTGTGGTCTACCACTTGAGCCTCGTGCCCCACGGCGTGGCCCAGCCCATGGTGGCCGTGACCACCACCATGTCCGAAGCCTGCAACATGGCCCACACCATGGCCATGGCCCACTGCAAGACTGGCACCGTGGCCTACTGCATGCCCAATACCATGACCGTGGCCTACTGCATGACCAAAACCATGGCCATGACCTATTGCATGACCCACAACATGGCCTACTGCATGACCCACACCATGGCCTACTGCATGACCCACACCATGGCCTACTGCATGACCCACACCATGACCATGGCCTACTGCAAGACCGACACTATGCCCATAGCCTACTGCATGACCCACACCATGGCCTACTGCATGACCCAAACCATGGCCATGGCCTACTGCATGGCCCAAACCATGGCCATGACCTATTGCAAGTCCCACACCATGACCGCCATGACCCACACCGTGGCCTACTGCATGACCCACACCATGGCCATAGCCTGCAAAATGGTCCACACCATGGGCTACTGTATGACCCACACCGTGACCCACACCATGACCTACTGCATGACCCACACCATGGCCTACTGCATGACCCACACCATGGCCTACTGCATGACTCACACCATGACCTACTGCATGACCCACACCATGACCTACTGCATGACCCACACCATGGCTATAGCCTGCAAAATGATCCACACCATGGCCTACTGCATGACCCACACCATGGCCTACTACATGACCCACACCATGACCTCCATGGCCCACACCATGACCTACTACATGACCCACACCATGGCCTACTGCATGACCCACACCATGGCCCACACCATGACCTACTGCATGATCCACCACATGGCCCACATCGTGGCCCACAGCATGGCTAACCCCATGACCCACTGCATGACCCACACCATGGGCTACTGCGCCGTGTCCAGCGAGACCTCCGTGTCCGAAGCCGTACTGAGATGTTGCCGTTGCCTTTGGAAGTGGCGTTGCCTTAGCAGTCGCCTTTGCTTCCGCCGTGGGCACAGCTGCGCGCCTGACCAGGCCGTGAACGGGAAGGTAGGAGTTGGCTCCGTATGGCTGGTAGGACACTCCGTGACTCACGACATGTCCCAGCCCGTGTCCGTGCCCGCCGTCGCCATGGCCATATCCTAGACCATGACCGAATCCAGCACCGTGACCGTGTCCGAGACCGTGCCCATGTCCGAAGCCGTGCCCATGTCCGAAGCCGTGCCCGTGTCCAAAACCGTGCCCATGTCCGAAGCCGTGTCCATGCCCTCCATATCCGGAAGTGAATCCATATTCCGAAGCGTAGTTATGGGCTCCATGGTCATGCGCAATGCCGTGCCCGGCTCCAAATCCATGTCCTAAGCCATGTCCGTATCCTAAGCCACCACCAACAAGGATGTGCCCAAGACCCAAACTAGCGCCGTGTCCATGACTAACTGCATGCCCATGGTCGACGCCATGTCCGTGGCCAATAGAGTGGCCAATCCCATGTCCGTAGCCAATAGAGTGGCCGATGCTGTGTCCGTGACCAATAGCGTGCCCAATGCCATGCCCGTGGCCAATAGCGTGTCCGTGGCCAATATCATGTCCGTGGCCAATAGCATGTCCGTGGCCAATAGCGTGTCCGTGTCCAATAGCGTGCCCGATGCCATGCCCGTGGCCGACAGTGTGTCCGTGATCGACAACATGGACTTCACTGTGACCGTGTCCGTGTCCACCTGGGGATGGCTTCGCTTCGCGCTTCTGGTGTTCGGCTTCCTCTGTGGAAGGTTGGATCTCCCGTCTGTGTTGTTCGGCTGCCACGGCAACGACCAGGAGTATGGCAACCTGACGGGGACACAAACATAGCTACAGTCGTCAGGGTATTGACAATAGAATTAATACAGTCACGACAGGTCAACTACCACACCCAGAACATTTAATTTATAATGCCTTTAACCAAACTAAAGAATATTTAATAACAATTTCACACGAGAGAAGCATTCACCTCCATTTACTGAACTTAGCAAAGTTATCACATACTTTGAAATCTTTTAATATTAATTAATGTCGCATTTATTTTTTTCTGTTAAAGTTAAAGGCTCCATAAACATAAACTAAAGGCTCCACATAACTAAACTCACAAGTTTCTGTGTAGTTGTGTTTATGGAAATCCTTCCAAGTGTCGGGAAAAAGGTCTGCTCTAAAGAAAACGGTAAAAATGTTTATTTTTGTTATGAGGATAAATATTGTGTTTGATCAAGTCAGAAATCTAATGTGTTACATGTACATTTGGGAGATTATGATCAATCAATTCATTGGACACGGTAAAATATGTTGCCTTATGCAAATTATCAGTGGTCTGAGGGATACTTGAATGCAATTTAACTAAATTGTATGATTATATTTAAAATAATACCTTCGGATTGTATATAATTTAAAATAATACCTTCGGATCGTATATAATTTAATTTATAGCAGCATTGTTATTATTTTAATTTGATTTTTGTTGGTAATTATTATTTGTATTATTACCGGTACCATTATACATTAAAAAATGACTAACCTACGTCGTTTTAAAAGTAAAACGGTGAACCAAATGTGAATGTATCGAGAAGAAAACCATATAGCAGGAATTAAATAAAGCTCACTGGGCAGCACGTAAAGTTAGGAAAACTTAGCAGGCACAGAAATAATGTAATGCAAATAAGATTTCTCGTTAATTACACTTAATAAGGAAGGCAATTTATCAGGCTGTGTATAATGGACTGCTGTGAGAACAGCCTGGAGGGTAAGGCTCGCTTCAACTGTGTGATTTACAAATTTACGTTTCCTGGATTAGGCCAAGGTAGCTTGTTTATAGTGCGTGTGTCCTCCCATGTGTGTTCTGAGCAGAATAATTTCATGTGCCTCCAGAATAGTATTCGTTTTCTCTACTTAGGGATGGGGAACACTTCTGTGTACTAAGTCAGTGTTTCTGTGCCTGAAGTGGAACTCTCTTGTAAATATTTTGTGATTAATATACGTAGAACACCTGTATACCCGTGTATGATAATTTTGTGAACGAAAATTGCCATACACCCGTGTAGTAACACAATATTCATGTATTCTATATTTTAATCAACATCTTAATAAACTCATAAAGTTGACAGGCTATCCAAGTGAACACGAATATTTAAATATAGTAAGACTGTGACTCTGGGGACTCACCAGGCACCTCATGGCTGCGGTTGTCAGGTGGCGAGCGACTGATGACAGACAGGGCCAGTGTGCCACTATATACCAGGCAGCTAGTGTCGTCTCGGGTCACCTGCTGCGAACCGGCGACCAGAAACCCTCAAGTCATCAGTCATTCGCTGTCCAAATTTCCCGTGCGCTGGCCGACCCATCGGGCCGAACCTCTCGCCAAGGCTGTTCTGCACCACCCGCTCTGGGGGAATATAACTTTTATTTTCATGGTAAAAATTGTATATCTATTTTATAAACATCATGAATAAAATGCTGGATATTCTTGGATTACTCAGTGTGGCATAGTGCATAAAGATATTTGCGAAAAGGATAAGTACGTCAAATAATAACTAATTAGAAGCGAGAGCTACACAGGTCCGATGTTTAGGAACACAGCGTACAATTCCATACTCCTAATTTTTTTCCCGCAATAACACATTGAGTTACTTATAATTAATCCAGAAAATCCCAGGATAACAATAATGTGCAGGTCACACATTCGCAAAATTTATTACTAACATGTCTGATGGAGAAGTCACCTTGACTCGGGACTCAGGCTGCTCAGGCAGGGTGACGGGAGGGTAGATTCCTCTCCACAGTGAGGCGCGTTCTGCTAACTCACACCTCAACCTGCCTATTACCTACAGTTATTATGGAGTGTGAGGCTGCAGAATGTACCTTATGATAGGTTTCATTGCCACGTTACGTAACACTTGACTTTTTCTCCGTTACGATAAGTGTTGGCCTTTACTTGTTACTGTGCTATTAGGAACTTGATTTACCTGCTCCTGGCAGTTTATCAGACAAGTCATCGGATTATATTCATACCAACCTAATCCGGACGCTCTTAAGCTTTTATATAAATATAACAAAACAAGTATTAATACTGTACACTCTAGACACACTCGCTCACCCTCCCTCCTCGGTTTCCTTCACTTTCTCTATCTGAGGACACTAGTATGTATGGAAGGGGGCCATGCCTCCCCCAACTGTGGTGGGCCATGGTTTGTTAGCTAACAATTAAAGCATAGTTAACAACTGTTAGATCGTCATCTCTTCTACCCCTCTCTCTCCCCCCCCCCCCTCTCCACCATCTCCTATTATTGATATTTACCGGCAAAGTTGTGAGGGAATTTTATTATTAAATTTGCAGTCATCAGTGTGTAATGACTGTAAATTAAATTAATTAAATAAATATATGTACATAGCTGAGCACAGCTTGAATGGTCCCCCAAGCACAGATATTACTCTAACCCCTTTGAAATTTCGAACCCAGGCTATCAGAGGTCTTCAGACAAGCAACACCTGTACCATGACCACTAAACCAGCGATCATTTCGTGATGATTGTTCGTGTAGTGGTCAAAGTAGTCGGTGTTGTTGGTGGGGGGAGACCCTTAGCGGCGTGGGAATGAATCCAAAAAGGGGTCATAGAGTTAGAGTAATGTATATGTTGCACCTAATAGGCCAAGTTGCCAAACAAGCCGAATTTTCCTAAACAATTATTTTTTCACAACATTTTAATGGAATTATTTATCTTAATCTTTACTTTATGTGATTTGAATCTTTTTAACTTGAATTAAAATTAACATAAATTTTATCAAACCTAATATAACTTATCACATGCTAAGATAACTAAATCAGTAATTCATGTACTTCATATATAAATATTATTTGGAATATTATTGCTATTACTGTAATAGTTTATATATTTATATATAATTTATATATTATAGTTATATATATATATATATATATATATATATATATATATATATATATATATATATATATATATATATATAATATTATACAGCAACGCGTTCTTCCTTCCAAAATGAAGGTACTTATAGAACGATGTGGTCAATCATGCAAATAATGATGTGATGGACTACTAGAAAGAAGACTTGTGTTGTTGAGTTTGGACGAACTGGAAATGGTTGTGTGATTATGTTGCTAATGAAAATTAACCAAACCGTCCTAGACCATACACGTTATCTGAGGCCTAATATAGCACATATATGTGTTATTAGGCGAAGGATTATTTAAGTTGCTTAGCTCTATTTTTTCTTGACTCAATAAAGTGAATACTACCAAATTCTTCTCCCATTTTGTCCATCACGTTTATATTTATACGATCGTCCACATAGTTACAAAAAGTACTTTGCTTAGTATGCAAGGACGGTTTGCCTAGCAAGCAGAGTATTTTTTTTATTTTCAAACATTTCTTTCAAAATTAGTTTATTCCGATTAATATTATTATAATATATTACGATCATGAATCACTGACTTGGGGATGTTAGGTTATGACTGGTCTTGTTCCACACACTGTTACAGTAAAGATATGTTACAGAGTACTTAAATATTTTGTCATTTCTCCAGATCTGCTTTTTATGAGTGGCTTCGTTTGATAGGAGATTTTCTTGTAAGGTACTGTTGCATTAGGAGAAGACGGTAATTTAACTATCGTAAGTTGTTGGACGTAATTAGGTAGGGAGGTTTCAGCTTCGGTTGCTATAGTTTCCATTTATTCCTCCTCTCTATTCAATACCTGTCTTTGAAAAATTCTTCTATGTCTACTTTGTCAATTCTCATTAGAATCGTATATGTGGTTTTCATGTCCTTTGTTCCTCATTTCCTTCAATGTGACGAGTTCAGGTCCACCAGTATTTCCTCGCAGATACATTCCCTTGTCTCAGGTACAACAAGCATTGTTGAATATCTTTTGACCTTGTATAGCTTTGTCCGGTTCTTTAGCAGGTGAGGGATTCCATGCCAGGTTGAAATTCCACCTGGGTTGTACATAGGCTCATTTGTTAAACTTTCTGAAGACTACACGGACATTCCCAGATTTGTCATTTGCTTACGTGTGCAACAGGTATTAGAGTTGGAGTATTTCCTACTTCCAGGACTTCTCATTTTACTACTTACGAAATTACTTGCTCTTTATTCATGTACTGTTGCTCAGGTCTTCTGTCTCCTGTTCCAGTCGTCATAACTTTTAATGGAGTATGTGAGGATCCTGGTTGATACCTGGTTGATGGGGTTCTGAGAGTTCTTCTACTCCCCAAGCCCGGCCCGAGGCCAGACTTGACTTGTGAGAGTTTGGTCCACCAGGCTGTTGCTTGGAGCGCCCCGCAGGCCCATATACCCACCACAGCCCGGCTGATCAGGAGAAGGGAACGATCAGGAGAAAACGCCAAGCCATCACTACTATAGCACTTGTAAAGGATCAGGATTTGGGATGGGACGAGGTAGAAGGAATGGTGCCCAACCACTTGGACGGTCGGGGGTTAAACACCGACTTGAATTGAAGCGAGACCGTCACTCTACCGTCCACCCCAGGCGGTTGGACGAGACAGAGAGGAGCAGACAGAGATAAAGAGGGAAAGAAAAGGACGAGACAGAAATTCCCGATTGCTCGCGAGTGGGTTAGTCACAGCCATCAAACTTTATTAATACTTTTCCAGAAAGAATTCGAGAGCTTCCAGACCCCCTTGTGACTCCAGACAAGGAGGGTGGAGAGCTTCATGAACTTCTGGAGCCTCTTGGCCTCCCACGTGAGCCAGTCGTAAAGATGGCACCCGTCTCCAGCCTCAGTGTTTGTCAAGAAGTTTAAAATGTCAATTCGTATTGGGTGATCTCTGTATGCTCCTTAGTGTGGGTGTTTATATTTCCTCACTTTCTTATCAACATACAAAGAATGGTTTTCCTGTATTACTGGAAATGAAAATAATTTTGGCGAACAAGACTTTGGCCGAGAATAATGACATTTGGGAAAGAATATTGGAACAGAAACTGTGAATAACGCTTTTACTCTAAAACTTTAAAAACGGACTTACTTACTCGCCTAAATGAGATAACGTCAATGAGATTATGAACGACACAAATACAATTAAAATAAAGTTCCTCTTACTTCTGCCCGTTAATTTTTATTACCTAGTAACGGACTCCTTACTTAAATATTTATATATGAATATTCATAATCTGAGCGCCTGATTCATGACGTGTCAATTCACGTACATTAAAAGTTAAGATTGCGACACTTGAGACGAGGGAATTGACATATTAAGGCATTATTCAACTGAACTGTAAAGATCCTGGGAACATAAATATGTACAGGCAGGTAAATCAACACAATACATATGGAGACATTTGAGAAATATATTTTTAGCAAAATTAGACTTACTTTTGTTTATTAAAGCCGTCATAAAACAGCCATGGATGAGGCTGTCTGCCTCGCAGACAGACGATGCATGTATTTATGTATGTAGGTTAGATTAGCATTTTATAATCACTACAGTCACCTTCTGTGATTGATGAATCACTGAATTATATGTTTAACAGATATCTAACCTGGTCCATGGAGGATAAAAGAAAATGATATATATGCTAGTTACCATTGTAAATGTACTCACCTAATTGTGCTTACGGGGGTTGAGCTTTGGCTCTTTGGTCCCGCCTCTCAACTGTCAATCAACTGTGTGGCCACGTCTGTGGTAGAAAATAATACAAAACAAAACAAATCAAATCTTCTAAAGAGTCGTAGTTTACGCTGCTCCCTAAGTTCAAGTTGGACTATTATGAAACATTGTGTTGAGTTTAGCTCGCCCCATGTCAGATAAAATACCTGGTCCACTGCACGTGTAATCTTGATTTCAAATATTGCCTCTGTTCTCTGTAATGACACGGAGCAGGTAAAGAAGATTGGTGGGTTACCAGTGATTTCCCACAGGCCAATTTAGCCACAGGTGTTATACGAAATGACCAACGAAATATACCAGACTATTTCTGTCTCTTGTTCGTTGGGATATTTTGAACAACAGTGTTTATTCAACCTGTCTTCTTGAACAGTACATCGCATTTTGACGTATAAAATCCCATCGGGAAAAAATGCTGTATTATGAATCGTAGCAACACGCAAAATTGATGAGCTGTCACGGCTTGTTTCCAGTAGTGGTAGGACAAGTAACAGTAGGGGTGAGACAAGTGACAGTGGTAATGGGGTAAGTAACAGTGGTTATGGAACAAGTAGCAATGGTATAAATGTTTGAAAACAATAAAAAAAATCAGTAATCAGATGAGACTTAATATCTTCGATGTGTTATGATAATTTTAATATTTGTCAGTTTGACATTACAGCTTTGTACTACTTCCCAAATTTATTATATGCTTGAATTGTTTCCCTGACGAGAGTGAGGAGAGAGCCTTATGCTTTGTTAACGTGGTATTTTTTAAACAAACAGAACAGAACAGATATCAAACATTTTCATTTTATACTGTAGATCATTGCATTATAAACCAATAGATCTTTTTATATCTTTTCATTCCCTTTTCTCTATGTTTTAACCATATAATCTTTCTTGCTTTCTGTGTTTTATTCATGTACACTCTTTCTTCTCTTTCTCTCTATTTTACCCATGTTCTCCATTTGTTCTTTGTTAAGCATAACAAATAGTTGATAAATCATGATTTTTAGTGGTGAATATAAAAACATTTAAAGAAATAAGATTTAATAACTATATGACAATGCTCGTCAGTGGTGTCCGTAGCCGTGGCCATGTCCGTGGCCATGTCCGTAGCCGTGGCCATGTCCGTAACCATAGTGGGGCGCGACGTAGGCGCTCTTCCTCTGGAAGGAAAGACCATGGCCAGGATGCTCCACGGCCGCCTTGTATCCATAGGAAGCTCCGTTTCCGTGACCAACCTCGTAGGAGTAAACTTTGCCATGGCCATAACCGTGGCCATACCCATGACCACCACTGTGTCCTCCATGGTGAAGGCCGTGGCCCCCATGACCCGACACATGAACACCATGGTGCAAGTCGTGACCACCATGGACGACTACATGGCCACCATGGTGGACGCCGCCATGTGCTCCGTGCCCCACAAGATGGCCATCATGGTGGCCGCCATGTGCTCCGTGCCCCACATGATGGCCACCATGGTGAATGGTTGTGTGGACGACTTTATGACCATGATGTACATTATGACCAATACCGCCTTCGAAACCATGACCAATGTCGCCACCGTGGCCATGGCTTACGCTGTGAACGATGCCATGATCTAGCCCGTGTCCGAAACCAATACCGTGGCCAATGCTGTGCCCTGAACCGTGGCCGATGCCGTGGCCTAATCCGTGACCGTGAGTGATCCCATGGCCCAAGCCGAGACCCAGGCCATGGCCAACCGCATGGCCACCATAGGTAGGCTCAGCCTCCCGCTTTTCCTTGGCTGTCACGAGGGCAGCACACAGGACAACGATCTGGCGAGAGGAAGACATTCATTAGTCACTAATGGCTCATCTCATTACTAATTGCAACTTGTCCATGATGAACTATTTATATATTTTTGCTTATGACGAGAGTTATTAACGTCTAATTATATGAAGTTGGAAGAAATTTAAATGAAACAGATTATCACTGCTGTCTAAAGTAATTAGCATATCTTACGTATCAGCGTGAAGAACTGAGCATGGGGATTATGTGGATGTTCTTTTCCAAAGGAAATATATCTTTTTTATATATAATTATGTACCTATGTTAATTAAAATAATGAAACGACATAAATATATGCAAAACGTGTCACACATGTTAACAAAATGTAATTGGTGGAAGAACAGCGTTAGTATGGTTAGATTTGTACACGTGAAAATCCAAGAGGTCCGGATCCTGGAAAATTGACAGGTAGGGCCCAAGAGTTGAAGCTCAAATTTTTCTTCCTCACAAGTTAAGCTGCATAATTATTTACTGTCCTAGGGCTAGATTCACGAAAGCACTTACGTAAACACTTACGAACCTGTACATCTTTTCTCAATCTTTGGTGGCTTTGTTTCCAATTATTAAACAGTTAATGAGCTCCGAAGCACCAGGAGGCTGTTTATAACAATAACAACAGATGAATGGGAAGTTTTCATGCTTCTAAACTGTTTAATAAATGTAACCAAATCCTTCAAAGATTGAGGAAAGATGTACACGTTCTTAAGTGCTTTCGTAAGTGCTTTCGTGAATCTGGCCCCTAGTCTCTGATCATAGGATGCAGGCCGTCTTCTGTGATTTATTAAGTATGCTGCTCGTGTCACTACACATAACTTGAGACCTGACTGAACTCACCAGAGTCTTCATGGTGGTCCGTGTCGGTCGAGGCACTGAGGGCGTGTGGTCAAAGTTTCGGGTCGTAAACCTTATATACTGACACCAGGCGGGTCCCCGCCTCATTCCCATTTTCTTCCAGCACCACCCCCCCCCCCATCTCCTCTCCCATTACGCCCCTCCCCCCACTCACCTGACGTGACTCTTGAGCTCTCTCACGACATTCGGTTTTTCATGAGAATCTGCATCAGGGTGCGACAGTCGCCGTCGGTGTTGTGGTGGATGCCTTAAGGTTACTGAAGTGAGACCAATATATCACGAGAGAGAATATATTCAAGGAAATTTCACTTTCGTCTTGTGATTCCAAACAGATTACTCTTCTTATTAAATTAATATATAATATGTATTTTAACATGAATTATCCAAGTACATTTTTCTGTAGTATATACTGGGGGATGAAATCAACGATCTAAATTATTATTGTATCAATTGATAGTAAGTATAACATTGTTTACCTTCCTTGAGGTTATCTTGAGATGATTTCGGGGCTATTTAGTGTCCCCGCGGCCCGGTCGTCGACCAGGCCTCCACCCCCAGGAAGCAGCCCGTGACAGCTGACTAACACCCAGGTACCTATTTTACTGCTAGGTAACAGGGGCATAGGGTGAAAGAAACTTTGAACATTGTTTCTCGCCGGCGCCTGGGATCGAACCCAGGACCACCTTAGCATATAATTTAAACCAAAATGAAAATGAAAGTTACTGTGTGAGTGATCAACCCAGATGAAGGCACCTAGAGTACGTAGATCAATAGATTTTTGTTTCTCATGCGTTGTCCATTGGTTCTGTTGAAGTCTCAAGAAAATATTTCAGGTGTGGATTAATATTGCACTTCAGAGTTATATAGATAAAGAGTACACTTGAGTGCCACCTTGGCGGGAGCAGCACCTGAGGACTGATCCATTGTCAACCGAGCCGGGCAGGCTTCACGGAACATTGGTGTCAACGCCGGGGCTGGCCACCTCGGGCTTCCAACCTCTCTCTCATTTTATGATTCTCCGTTCTTGACAATTTATAGGTATCCAACACTTTACTTTTATCTTTTTCTATATAGGCAACATAACCAGGAACCAGCCCATAACAGTTGTCTATTTTCTCGGGTATTTATTTTACTACTTTGTGAATATGGGAATTAGATGAAAGGAAACGTTGTCAGATGCTTGCGTCATGCAACTGGGACGGAATCCCCGATCCTCGGTGGTAAACCGATGACTTGCCCTACTGTTCCAAGGGTTCCTTAAATCTCAATCTCTCTCTCTCTCTCTCTCTCTCTCTCTCTCTCTCTCTCTCTCTCTCTCTCTCTCTCTCTCTCTCTCTCTCTCTCTCTCTCTCTCTCTCTCTCTCTCTTAAATTTTAGAATTATATTTTATGTACCTAAATTTTCAAATATTTAAAATGCAGTCTGTGTACCATTCAGGTTTATCATTTGAGATTGACCACTGTTACTGTCACACCCGACAGCATACTCCCTTGACCACTGATACTGACACACCCGACAGCATACTCCCTTGACCACTAATACTGACACACCCGACGGCACACTACCTTACTGACAAATGCTAATTGAAGAGTTCCAAAATGTGTTTGTCCAATATTAGCATTTCAGAGTACCAGACCTAATGCCAATTCCAGAGGACACCATTGAATACATAAAGGTATGTATCTCATGACGAAGTGAAAAAATTACTCATGGGACTAGGAAGAAATAGAGCAGTTTGACCTGATGGAGTTTCACCTTGGATGATATGAGAATGTGCAACTGAGCTGAGCATTCCACTCCAGTTAATATTCCAGACATCCTTGTTCACTAAAATCTTAGCAGATAAATGAAAAAAAGGCAAACATCGTTCCAATCTATAAAAATGGTAGCCGAGAAGATCCTCAAAATTATAAACACGTATCATTAACAAGAGTGTAGTCAAAACACTAGAAAAAACAGTTAAAACCAAATGGGCAGAACACTTTAGAGTAATGACATATTAACAGATGGAAAATATGGTTTCGAACAGGAAGATCCTGTGTAACAAATCAAATTTATTTATGATAGAGACACAGAGGTTCTACAGAAGAGAGATGTTGGGGTGACTGTGTTTGTCTGCACCTTTAAAAGGCTTTTGACAGTCCCATACAAGAGGTTGTTCTGGAAACTGGAACATGCTGGAGGGGTGACAGGGAGTCTTCTGACATGGATTAAAAAATTTCTGAAAACAGATGAGGTTGGTAATCAGAGACAATGTATCTGATTGGAGGAGTGTTACTAGCGGAGTACCACAGGGTTCAGTTCTTGCACCTGTAATGTTCATCGTCTACATAAATGATCTACCGGAAGGGATACAGAAATATATGAACATATTTGCATATGATGCTAAGATACTAGGGAAGATCCGAGACTCAGACGATTGTCATGCCTATCAAAGTAATCTAGATAAAATAAGTGCTTGGAGCAACAAGTGGAAAATGGAATTCAGTGTGAATAAATGTCATGTTATTGAATGTGGAATCGGAGAAAATAGACCACTCACAACTTACAAATCATATGGAAAAGAATTAAAAAACTCTAATAAAGAACGAGATGCAGGAGTGGTTATAGATAGTATCTGTCGCCAGAGAAACACAAAGAACATTGTGAGAGGAGCGTATGTGTCGCTTTCCAACTTTAAACTTGTTTTTAATTATATGACTGATGAAATATTAAAGAAACTGTTCATAACTTTTGTAAGACCAAAATGAAAATATGCAGCAGTTCTATGGTGCCTATATCTCAAGAAGCACGTAAACTGGAAAAGGTGCAAAGGCATGCTACAAAATGGCTTCCAGAACTGAAAACTAAGAGTTACGAGGAGAGACTAGAAGCGTTAAACATGCCGAAACTAGAAAATAGAAGAAAAAGAGGTGATATGATCACCATTTATAAAATACTAACAGGAATCGACCAAATTGACACAAAATGAATTCCTGAAACCAGCAACTTTAAGAACAAGAGAACACAGATTCAAGCAAAGGAAACACAGGTGCTGAAAAAATATTAGAAAGTTTTTTTTTGTTTTGCTAATAGAGTGGTAGACAGTTGGAACAAGTTAGGTAAGAAGTTGATAGAGGTCAAAACCGTCAGTAGTTTTAAAGCGTTATACTGCAAAGAGTGCTGGGAAGATGGGACAGCACGAGCGTAGCTCTCATCCTGTAAATACTCTTAGGTAATTACATGACGGCACACAACCGTGACCACTAGTGTGAAGATTAATGATTTTAACTCCCTCAAATATGCCCACTTTAAGAAGTTTCAGAATTAAGTTATGATAAACTAAACTACTAAACCGAAAGGCTTCGCTTTGGATGGTTGTAGTAGAATGTTGTTGTTGTCCCTGTGGCTCAAGGCTCCTTGTTCAACTGTGTTCTTTGACGAAGGCCCAACAGGTATGATTGCTGCCGATAGATTAAACTTCAGAATCTTAAATTAAGATTAGCGTTCAATTAATCATTATGCATTAAGATTAGCACTCTTGCATTTTACCTTCGGCACATCACACAATCCTTCAAGAGGCTTTTTACTGACTGTCGTCTCTGAGAAGTATAGTACTGTTGTCTCAATTGTGTCACGGTGCCTAACACTTTTCCATGTTTAGTTAAGTACTGATGCGTACACAGCACAATCAACCTTGTGATCCAATGGTTTTTTTGGTAAGAGCCATGGATGCACTGTTATCTAGGTTTATGTCTGCGTTCTTCAGTCTACCTCCAATGTGCAGAATATTGTTTTTATCTTAGTCAGACTACAGTCCAAGATTTTGAATTTGTTTGTTGGGGAGATTTTCAAAATCTTCCACATAGGTGTCTCTTTGGGCTTGTCTTACCCAACAATTCATTACTCCGAAGGTGTGTCCCTTTCTTCAAGAGAAAAAGAAACACCAACTGTGTGGATTTTATCAGTTTTGTCAGTGAAGAGAAGTATGTACAGTATTTGGCCTTGGCCTAAACATATGGGCTCCTGTTTTTATTGATTCTTACCCATTGTAAGACTGCCTCATTGTCACACCATATAAATAAATTCTATCCATCCATTTATATATCCATCTATCTATTGTCTGTCTCTGTTTCTGCCCCTGTTTCTATCTGTTTTTGTCTGTCTTTCTCTGTTAATATATGTCTCTTTCTCACTCTCTTTCTCTAACTCTGTCTTTGCCTGTCTCTTATAAACCATGTAATTGTCTGATGTGTAGATGTTCGCATTGAAAGGAGCTTAGTGATGTGATATACTAAAAAAGATAAGTAAGCCCTTACGCTGATTAAGGAATGGTGCTCGAGAAGCCTTTGAAGCTGTGAATGAATCGTCTCTTGTTTCTTCGCGATTACAAGCAAATTAACGACAACAGGAAATTTCTGTTAATTTTCTCAAGATCAGTGAATGATGATGCATATTAATATAAGTCATTTTTGTTTAAGTTTTGAAAATATTTTGGTGTGTAGCTGGCGGGCAGTGCCAAAAATTGTCGTGGGGGTCTGAATGTCGCCTCGGCACGCTGCTCACTTTTGAATTATGGCGACACCGAACAGCCTGTCCATACCATATCCCAGACTATTCCATTTTCTGATATGAGGGAGCCGAAACCCAAGTTTGGACTCCAACTCTAAACAGACAAACACACAGACATTTTCTCTTATAGTAGGATTATATAGGAACACTAAATTTTGACATAAATACTTTATTATATGATCTAACGTTTATTAAAATGAAACATATATATTATAAACAAGCAAGTTACAGGTTATGAGACTAAAATGTCTCTATTTTACATAGAGGTAATAATTGGTTTAGCATTCAACAAATCTTCGCTTGACTGTATTATAAGCTAATGGACTAGACTTACAGGAATGAGATATTTAGGAAGCAGGGAATGTGTTTAACATATTAAACTTCCTCTGTACTTGATAGTTTGAGGCATAATTATTTTAATTCGAATCCGAGGGCTGGAACACCATCGCTGATCTCCGAAATGCCACCATTACTTCTGAGGCTTCTAACAGCAGGTCCTAGATCCTGGAGACGGGGACCAGCAGCCGGATCTTTGTGACCTCTGGCTCGCCTTGAGCTCTAACTAACAGAAGCAGCAGTGTGCTTAATACCAGCTTAATACCATTATTCACTAGCCGTGAATAATTCCATGACTTTTGCCAGAAATCTGTAGACTCCGGTCCATATTAATTAAGGGTCAAAGCATGAGCCACAACTTTACACTGATCCATACCCACACCATGGCAATACCATGGCTCATATCATGGCCATCACCATGGGCTACACCATGGCCCACACCATGGCTCAGTTCATGACCCACTCCTGGATATATAATGTGATCCACAGTAGGATTCACTACATGATCCACAAAACGACTAAGATATTGATCTACAGCATGACTCCACACCATGGCCCAAAGTTTGAGCATCACTATGGCCAGCATCATGACCCACAATATGGCCCAATGCATCATGACCCACACCTTGGTCCACAGCATGACCCAAACCATGACCCCCACCATGACCCACAGAATGTCCCACACCATGGTCCACAGCCTGGCTCAGACCATGGCCCACAGCATGGTTCAAACCATGGCCCACAGCATGGTTCAGACCATGGCCCACAGCATGGCTCAAACCATGGCCCACAGCATGGCTCAGACCATGGCCCACAGCATGGCTCAGACCATGGCCCACAGCATGACTCAGACCATGGCCCACATCATGACGGCTTCCTGCATGACCCACAACAAGATCGACATTTTGACCCACTCCATGACCACGACCCAGGCCCTCATCATTGCCCACACTATGGTCCAAAATATGACTCGCACTATGGCCATTATCTTGATCAATACCACGACCCACACCATGACCCACACCATGACCCACACCATGACCCACACCATGACCCACACCATGACCCACACCATGACCCACACCATGACCCACAGTATGACCCACACCATGACCCACACCATGACCCAAATCATGACCCACACCATGACCCACAGCACTTCCCAAACCATGACCCACAGCACTTCCCACACCATGACCCACAGTATGACCCACACCATGACCCACACCATGACCCACAGTATGACCCACACCATGACCCAAATCATGACCCACACCATGACCCACAGCACTTCCCAAACCATGACCCACAGCACTTCCCACACCATGACCCACAGTATGACCCACACCATGACCCACAGCATGGCCCACAGCATGGGTCAGAGAATCACCCACGCCGCGGTTTAATGCACGACCCACGCCTTGACCCAAAACATCACCAAAACGATGACCTAAAGAATGGCCAACACCGTGACCCACAGCATTACCCACACTCTGAGCCACACCATGATTCGCAGCATGTCCCAGACTGTGACCCACAGCATTACCCACACTCTGACCCACACCATGATTCGCAGCATGTCCCAGACTGTGACCCACAGCATTACCCACACCATGACTCGCGGCATGACTCAGACCTTGGCCCACACCATGACTCACAGCATGATTCAGACCTTGGCCCACACCATGACTCGCAGCATGACTCAGACCGTGGCCCACACCATGACTCGCAGCATGACTCAAACCGTGGCCCACACCATGACTCACAGCATGACTCAGACCGTGGCCCACACCATGACTCGCAGCATGACTCAGACCGTGGCCCACACCATGACTCACAGCATGACTGAGACCTTGGCCCACACCATGACTCACAGCATGACTCAGACCGTGGCCCACACCATGACTCGCAGCATGACTCAGACCTTGGCTCACACCATGACTCACAGCATGACTCAGACCTTGGCCCACACCATGACTCACAGCATGACTCAGACCGTGGCCCACACCATGACTCGCAACATGACTCAGACCTTGGCCCACACCATGACTCGCAGCATGACTCAGACCTTGGCCCACCCCATGACTCACAGCATGACTCAGACCGTGGCCCCCACCATGACTCGCAGCATGACTCAGACCGTGGCCCACACCATGACTCGCAGCATGACTCAAACCGTGGCCCACACCATGACTCGCAGCATGACTCAGACCATGACTCGCAGCATGACTCAGACCATGACTCGCAGCATGACTCAGACTATGACTCGCAGCATGACTCAGACCGTGGCCCACACCGTGACTCGCAGCATGACTCAGACCATGGCCCACACCATGACTCGCAGCATGACTCAGACCATGGCCCACACCATGACTCAGACCATGGCCCACACCGTGACTCGCAGCATGACTCAGACCGTGGCCCACACCATGACTCGCAGCATGACTCAGACCATGGCCCACACCATGACTCGCAGCATGACTCAGACCATGGCCCACACCATGACTCAGACCATGGCCCACACCGTGACTCGCAGCATGACTCAGACCGTGGCCCACACCATGACTCGCAGTATAACCCAGACCATGACTCAGACCATGGCCCACACCATGACTCGCCGCATGACCCACACCATGGCCCACACCATGACTCAGACCATGGCCCACACCATGACTCGCCGCATGACCCACTCCATGACTCAGACCATGACCCACACCATGACTCGCTGCATGACCCACACCATGGCCCACACCATGACTCGCAGCATGACTCAGTCCGTGGCCCACACCATGACTCGCAGCATGACTCAGACCGTGGCCCACACCATGACTCGCAGCATGACTCAGACCGTGGCCCACACCATGACTCACACCATGGCCCACACCATGACTCGCGGCATGACTCAGACCTTGGCCCACACCATGACTCACAGCATGATTCAGACCTTGGCCCACACCATGACTCGCAGCATGACTCAGACCGTGGCCCACACCATGACTCGCAGCATGACTCAAACCGTGGCCCACACCATGACTCACAGCATGACTCAGACCGTGGCCCACACCATGACTCGCAGCATGACTCAGACCGTGGCCCACACCATGACTCACAGCATGACTGAGACCTTGGCCCACACCATGACTCACAGCATGACTCAGACCGTGGCCCACACCATGACTCGCAGCATGACTCAGACCTTGGCTCACACCATGACTCACAGCATGACTCAGACCTTGGCCCACACCATGACTCACAGCATGACTCAGACCGTGGCCCACACCATGACTCGCAACATGACTCAGACCTTGGCCCACACCATGACTCGCAGCATGACTCAGACCTTGGCCCACCCCATGACTCACAGCATGACTCAGACCGTGGCCCCCACCATGACTCGCAGCATGACTCAGACCGTGGCCCACACCATGACTCGCAGCATGACTCAAACCGTGGCCCACACCATGACTCGCAGCATGACTCAGACCATGACTCGCAGCATGACTCAGACCATGACTCGCAGCATGACTCAGACTATGACTCGCAGCATGACTCAGACCGTGGCCCACACCGTGACTCGCAGCATGACTCAGACCATGGCCCACACCATGACTCGCAGCATGACTCAGACCATGGCCCACACCATGACTCAGACCATGGCCCACACCGTGACTCGCAGCATGACTCAGACCGTGGCCCACACCATGACTCGCAGCATGACTCAGACCATGGCCCACACCATGACTCGCAGCATGACTCAGACCATGGCCCACACCATGACTCAGACCATGGCCCACACCGTGACTCGCAGCATGACTCAGACCGTGGCCCACACCATGACTCGCAGTATAACCCAGACCATGACTCAGACCATGGCCCACACCATGACTCGCCGCATGACCCACACCATGGCCCACACCATGACTCAGACCATGGCCCACACCATGACTCGCCGCATGACCCACTCCATGACTCAGACCATGACCCACACCATGACTCGCTGCATGACCCACACCATGGCCCACACCATGACTCGCAGCATGACTCAGTCCGTGGCCCACACCATGACTCGCAGCATGACTCAGACCGTGGCCCACACCATGACTCGCAGCATGACTCAGACCGTGGCCCACACCATGACTCAGACCATGGCCCACACCATGACTCGCAGCATGACTCAGTCCGTGGCCCACACCATGACTCGCAGCATGACTCAGACCGTGGCCCACACCATGACTCGCAGCATGACTCGGACCGTGGCCCACACCATGACTCGCAGCATGACTTAGACCATGGCCCACACCATGACTCGCAGCATGACTCGGACCGTGGCCCACACCATGGCCCACACCATGACTCGCAGCATGACCCAGACCATGGCCCACACCATGACTCGCAGCATGACTCAGACCGTGGCCCACACCATGACTCGCAGCATGATTCACACCATGGCCCACACCATGACTCGCAGCTTGACCTACAACATGGCCCAGAGCAGGACCCACATTTTGACCCACAGCAAAACCGTGACCTATACCATGATGCAGAGCCTGATCACTACCATCGCTTGCCACATCATGCACTGAATCATGCCCCTGCAGCACACTGTTGACTGCTCTGTGGCTTCCAGACGGAGTAAACCTAGCGATGAAGCCAGTATCTCGAAGCTCGTCACTCAAAACACGTATACCAGAGCTTACGGCATGTGCCGACTCCTTCCCCAGAGTAACGAAGCCAGTGTTGTAGCTGAGACCAGGCCGGGTACCCTCTGGACCAAGGCGAAGTATATCCTGGCTAGAAAGTGGCCCGTTCCTGTGTACATTTTGCATTCTGTGAGACACTTTGCGATCCTTATCGCGCTTATTGTGCACTTTTGCAGCCAGTTTTCCTGTTTGAGATGCCTGGTCGACGCTGCGTCTGGCAGAATGTGCGATACCTATTTCCAAGTCATTTCTACGAGAATATATTTCATTGGGTTTCACAGAAAGACTAAAGGCTTTGTCACGAGAATGGATCACTCTTTTCTTTGTACCAAATTCGTGGTTGTCACTAGTTGTCGTCACTGCAGTGTCTCTTTCGTAGATTGTTGCATCATTTTGAATGGTTTGTCCGACTGTGTATATTGGGAATCCCGCAGTATTCTCGTTGCCACTCCCAGGGCTGACTCCAACCACCAGTCCAAAGTCGTTTGAAGGAACAACAGCTTCAGCGTTCGCATTTGCTGTCGGATCAGCTTTTGGTCCAGGCTCTGCGTCTCTCTTTCCAATTCCACGGCTGAATACATAAGATCGTCCCCCTTTAGGATGAACAGCCATTGCAGTTGGTCCAGTGTGAGAATAATCCTTCTGGCTACTAAATCTGTTGGTCGGTTCGTGTCCAAAGGCTTGTCCGAATGCATGGCTCAACCTTGGGTTGATTTTTTTCCCTTGAATAATTGCAAGATTTTGACGAAGCAAGTGTCCGTAGCCATGTGCATGGCCAACTCCCAAATCATGTATGTAGTTATTAATTTTGGCACGCACATGGCCAGGTCGAACAGTCAGTCCAACAGTATGGTCGGGCACTCCTAGGAGTCCAAGCTTTATGATAGGATCAGGTACTTGTCGAATGTCATTCTGAAAAGTATTCTTAATGAGAGATCCATGCTTTATTACTGGTAGAAACCCGGAACTGTAATTTATCACAGGATCTTGAATAAATATATGTTCTTTAGTATGCACTGGAGCTCTTGGGTGATTTATCACAGGATCTTGAATAAATGTATGTTCTTTAGTATGCACTGGAGCTTTTGGGTGATTTATCACAGGAGCTTGAATAAATATATGTTTATTTTTAAGCACTGGAGCTCTTGGGTGATTTATCGCAGGATCTTGAATAAATATATATTTATTTTTATGTACTGGAGCTCTTGGGTAATTTATCACAGGATCTTGAATAACTATATGTTCTTTAGTATGCACTGAAGTTCTTGGGTGATTTATCACAGGAGCTTCAATAAATGCGTGTTCTGTAATATGCACCGGAACTCTGCGAGGATTTATCACTGAGTCTTGAATAAATGTAGGCGCATTAATAAGACCTGGAGCTCTTGAATGTGTTACGACAGAGCCTTGAGCAGGTAAATATCCTTGAAAAGGTGCTTCCTTTGTTATAGTTCCTGTCCCTGACCTTAATATAGAAGCATATTTTTTAAAAGGCTCTGAAACAGATGGATATACTATTCGAGGCTCCAGAATAGGAATATGCTGCAGGCCGTGACCCGGGCCAGGCCCTGGCTGTAATGCTCCAGGACCCAAGATATTTCCATAGTGGTAAGAAATTTCACTTAGTTTCCTGCGTCCGTATCTTAGAGGAGATGGCGCAGCCTCCCTCGTCTCTGTCGCTCTGACTGACACTGTTAACAGGATCAGAATCTGCAAGAATTCATATTGTTAAATTTCAAAATGAGTAATTAAGCAACTAGGATATTGAATATTTAAACAAACCGAACTGAACAATAAATCAATATTTCTAGGACTTGTATATAACGTGGAACAGAATAAGATATTATATACTCAGTATTTTATATTGCAATTAGCCAATTCATATCCACTAAGCTTTTACGATATTAATATCAACGTCACAAGTGAACAACAATGAATACTGAAAAATCGCGCATGAATGTACTCACCTAATTGTACTCACCTAATTGTGCTTACGGGGGTTGAGCTCTGGCTCTTTGGTCCCGCCTCTCAACTGTCAATCAACTGGTGTACAGATTCCTGAGCCTACTGGGCTCTATCATATCTACATTTGAAACTGTGTATGGAGTCAGCCTCCACCACATCACTTCCTAATGCATTCCATTTATTAACTACTCTGACACTGAAAAAAAAATTTCTAACGTCTCTGTGGCTCATCTGGGTACTAAGTTTCCACCTGTGTCCCCTTGTTCGTGTCCCACCCGTGCTGTTAATGTGTTTCACTTAGCGGCTATGGTGAATAGGCGGGAAAAACTTATGAAGAATATTTTTTTTTTGGCGCTGAGGGTATGTACGTCTCTCGTAAAAAAAATTGTCATTATAGAATTATAAATTGATATGCAAAATGTAAGAAAAACACGAAAATAAGTTAATATTTATGGTTTACAAGGGGTGGAGGAAGTGTGGAGGGGGTGTAAAGTGAGTATGTATGGCGCCGGGCAACACTCGGAAGATGAATTTTAAGGTTCATAATCCAGAGGGTATTATTATAGTTACTATTATTATTGTAATGATAAAATCTAGAACAGTAGAGCCGAAGAACACTGAGGTCCGGACAGGTCATTGTAGGGTGAGTACATCCTCTGATCAAGTGCTCGCGTCCACCCCAGAGGGAAAGTTTATAGCTCATACTCCATACCGGTCAATAGCTGTCATGTATTGCCTTATATGTACAAATAAAATTCAAAGGATGTCAACAAGTAGACCGTAAATGGAATCCTCTTCCTGTTCAGATGTTCTGTTTTGTGTCTTGTGGTGTTCTGTTTTGTGTCTGTTGTGGCGTTCTGTTTGTGGCGTTCTATTTTTGTCTGTTGTGGCGCTCTGTTTTGTCGCTGTTGTGGCGTTCTGTTTTGTCCTTTTGGAGGCGTTCTGTTTCATGTCTGTAGCAGAATTCTGTTTCATCCCTGTTGTGGCGTTCATTTTATCTCTGTAGCGATGTTCTGTTTGATCCCAGTTCGTGGTGTTCCGTTTTATGCCTGTTGAAGTGTTTAGTTTTATCACTGTTGTGTTGTTTTATTCCTCTTGTCCTCTGTTTTATTTAAGCTATATGCTTATCAAATGATATATTATATCTAAGCTTTAATTGCTTCATCATAAGCATTTATTTTTGTAAATGTCCAACTGAGAAAAATTATTTTAAAAAATAAAAAACAATAGTTCCTTCGCAAGCCTAATCACAAGCCAACAGGGAAAGAAAATCCAACAAATCCCCACTGACAAATACAGATAATAATTATCTGAGAAAACACTGGCAGAAACTGCTTTATTACTCACCAGATTCCTCATGTCTATCGTCAGGAGGTTGGAAGATAACTGGTGATCGACGCTGGTCATTGTGCTGCTATATACCTGACGGAGGCTCCTGTCGCGGGTCACCGACGAAGGAGGGAAGGGGTCCAAGTCATGCACAATCACTACATGTTGGCGTCTATAGCGTGGAGAGAGAAAGATGGACGTCAGGCTGGCCCCGTGTCGGAAGACCGGCTAATAAGCACCATGGTTGGTGCTCAGTTCAGCTAGGTTGGGCTTCGTTGTGTATCTCTCAAGGTGGCCAGCATCATATTTATGAAAGTATACATAAATACAGATGAATACTTGTTTAATATTAATATTTTTATTTGTGGAAAACAAGAGACGTGCAGTAATAATTGTCTGCATGGTAGTTGATTTAAATTCAAAGTTTTCGTCATTAGTGACTAAATATATCAGGATTCCTAAATGCTAAATTGTTATTAAATTCTTTTAGTAATTTAGAAATTAATGTATTCTTAATATTAAATTCTTCTCTCTTTTTCATTCTAAAGAAAGTGTTACGAACAATTTGGGTGGCTTTATCAATAAATGATGAGGTATTTTAAATTGAAAACTAGACTATATGTATGGCACAAATTTCATCATCTATGAAATCAGGACTACATATCCTTAGAGCCCTCAGAAACATAGAAGAATATACACTTGTTTTACTTTTTTAAAGACTTTTAGTTTCATGATAACAGTCTTTACATATATTTAAAAATTTAGGGATATACACAGGTGTGTGATTTTAAGCATTCATGTATGCAATGTTATTCATTGCAAAGGTGCAATTTTTGGGTAGTTTTCCTTTTCTTATTTCATAGGTTTTTGCTATTTTGTATTCCTCTTTCAATTACGTCTTTTACCTTTTCTCTCCCTTATATTTTCAATTCCACTCACTCCCCCACTGCCTCCCTTTTTCCCCCACTCCCTACCTTCCCCCCCACCCCCCACTCCTCCTCTCTCCTTACCTCTCCCCCAACCCCTCGCAACCTTCCGGTCTCCCCAGCTGATCCCTGGGTTGCATTGTGTTATTACAACGAGCGGCGAGACATGGCTAAATAGACTTGGTAATTATGACTTCCAGACATTACACGGTCGTTTGCTGCCGTAAATCTCCGGCTAACGATTCCATGCACACTTCTGTGCTACAAACTACATGGGAAGTAGCTTGTTGCAGAAACATCTCTCAGATACAAGCTTCAAACGCAGTTGCTTTTCTCTGATAGTATTAGAGATTTGAAAGTCAGAAC